AGCAGATTATATTTGACGGATTCATTCTCAAATTAGGTCGACCTGACAGAATAAATAATAGGCCATATCGTGCACACATAAGAAAAAGAAAAAATGCTGCCGTATATATTTCGTATATATTTCGATATCTCGACTGTCCTCGTCACTTCTGACGTTGCGATTCGAAGCGGTTAAATGAAATTCGACACTCGGTCGGAACTAGTGAGGCGACTTGGTCGGATTGCGACCCTAATCGCGTCGATTGAGACGAGTTCGCGACGTCGTGAACGATTTCGTTAGTCTTACTAGTGGCTAAGCGTGGCAGGAACGCGTTTGCGGCGTCGTGGCTGCCGTTTAAGCCGCGGCTTAACTCGGCTTAAGGCATTACTCTCACCGTCTCTTTCTCTTCCTCTCTCTTCTCGCCACGGTTTCGCCTCTCTTCACCGTACTTCCGCCTCGCTCCGTTGCTCGGTCCGCGCGGCTTTTAATCGAGCGCCAGCGGATTATCTCGACGTCGAATCTACGGTCAGCCTGCAAACCACCGGCGAACTCTGGACCCTTGTGTGCTATTCTATCCGCGCGCGGCTCAGGTGCTCCATTTTCGAGTTCGCAGTCTGCGCGAGCGTGTCTCCGCTTTCTCGCTTTGACGTTGAGGATCAATCAAATATGCCATAAATTGTTGCGATATTTTCGCAGCTGTGATCGTTGTGAAATTATCGAGGAATAACGGCTCGTTTATTGAGCGAGTACCAATCTTTTTATCCTTCTTACCTCTTTCTCTCTCTCTCTTTCTCTCCAAATTTTTTAGAGAAACCTCACTCCAAATGAGTGAAAAATATTTTCACTCGAAGCGACAATGAGAATACTGCCACTCGAAATCGCAGAAAAGTGAATGTTTCACTCAAACTCTCAGAATGGATTTTGACTGTATGTCTGAGCAAATGTTTCAATCAATTAGAGTATGTTCCTATAACGGCGAAGTACATCAAATTTGCTCTTCAATTCCGGATGAAAATATTCGACGACTCAGAGTGGAGAATTAATTTTGTATAAACGAAAAATCAGTATGACTCAGTGGTAATTCTTCGTGTCACTTTTCGAGTAAAATTTTATTCTAAGAAATTTAGAAAGGGAGAGTACGCGATTTTCATTATTTTACATAGATATCAGGAATAATCTCAGCTTGGTAATATCACGCTATTATGCTGTATCAGATGCTATACTCCGGACATCGCGATGCAGTATGTCCGAGCCGTCGTCGAGAAGTGGGCCAGCCGTGAATGACATTCTCCGTAAGAGCGTTTCGGGTGGAGGTCTCGCGGACGCGTCCGCACCGGTGATCGATCGCTCGGCGGTGTGTAGCCGCGGTATTTACGGAGCTTGCTCGGCCACCACATAATTTCGCCACTCCCGGTGACTAGAGAGACCGGTCGCCATTTGTCGCGGATCTTATCGGCTGGCGGTCTCTTCGTTTTAAAGCAACTCGAGCGTGAACGCGCCCTCGGAGTCGCCACCCCCGCGACGCAATCCTCCGCACCCTCTTCTGTCCACCGACCAAACGCACGCCGGGACCACTGCTTTAGCTGGGGATATTTATTGCCTCACGGTGTGTAGCCTTATCGAGTGGCCCCGCCATGCTTGAAATCGTGAGAATTCCAGCTAAACCGTCCCGCCGTCGCCTACATGCGCGCACATTGCCCCCTCGTCCTACCCCCTTTCGCACGTACGACACCAGTGGGATCGTGTACGCGTGTGCCCAGTAACGGGACAGAATGTAATGGAGAGAACGGGACGGGACGAACGGGATGGAAGCGACGGGACGGAAGGGGATGGGGATGGGGAGGAAGAGAAAGAGAGAGAGAGAGAGAGAGAGAGAGGGAGGGAGGACGAGAGGGGCCTTTGACTGGCGCACGAAGGGGACCAAACCAGCCCCTCAGGTTGCTCGGCAAGGGTGCGCGATATTGATTCCCACCTACCTACCTACTCTCTCTCCCTCCCCCCCTCTCTCTGTGTGTATGTGTGTGTCTACTACCACTACCGCTGCTTCCATCGCGCGAAAGCTCGGTGTCACGTTCACGACTAGCAATGGGCATAAGTCTTGTGCTGACTGCATCGAGGAAATCCCCCGCTGCTTCTCTCAGACATGGTCGCTCGTGTTTGAAGCGTCCCGATGAGACGATTAATTCGTATTTAAGTGCAAGATCGCGAGATCACGGCGTCGATTGTCCCGGGATCAAGGGAATCTCTTTTGAAGAGAAAATCCTGCGCGCGATATCGTTCTCGAGTATGTAAGCTCGCCACGGGAACTGCGAGCGATCCTGTTAATGCTTATTCTTGAAAGGAGACACGTGTCATACGCTCGATCGGGAGTTTTATTAACGTGACCTTTGGATATCTCGGTCGTGAACTTTGAATTACACGTGTAGTTTGAAACAACAGCGTCTTTATTCGCAAAAAAATAGGAAAACATAATGAAACTGTAATCGCGAATCAGTGACCGTCAAAGAACTACGTTTAATTTCTCTGCTTTTATAAGATTTGGGTCAGCGCGACCTGATAAGATAAGACTTCCACGGCTTTCTTAATAGTCACCGTTTAGCCGATAACAAACTCTCTCGGATATGAATAGAAGTCTCTCCGCGAGATTATAATTTTGTGCGTGCATGCGTACGTGCATGTATGCGTGTACATAGTCTCAAGTGTCACGGTTAAGCGATACTCGAACGGAACCCGATATCATATCGATATTTGTGATTATCCATGCCGCGGGAACGATCAAATCGCGTCTCGCTCCATCACTGATGATTCCGGACGCGGTGTGAGATAGCCAGGCCGTCGCTACGGCTTCCCGTGTTATACGTTTACAGCTTTCCAATATCTAACTTCTGCGCCCTTTTTCCACATCCCAATGAGCCATGACGCGCGTACACCAACAGAACCAACAGTTTCTCTCTCACATTCATATACACACACATTCTCTCTCTCTCTCTCTCTCTCTCTCTCTCTCTCTCTCTCTACCCAGCGATCGATAACGATCTACATTGCAGACGGGCGGTCGCCCCGAGTGGAGGACGACGGGGTCTTCGACGCCTCACCGATCGCTGAAGAGGCTATTTGCCTCGCGGTGGTGGTGGTAATAGCGACGCGCAGTTCCGCGGCTCTATTATGATAACCGAAAGTCCCGTCGGAACTACTAAATGCGATATAGATGCCTTCCGCCGGGAGGAAAGTCGACGAGGCCTTAGACAAAAAGCGGTTCTCCCTCACGGCGAAAACCGGAATGCGCTATTTGCGCGCACGTTAACGGAGATCTTTAGTGATGCGTTATGCTCTGAAACGCGGCGAACGTTCAGGTTTGACTTGCGATCGCTACCATGCTCGGCACGAAATAGCCACCAGAACCATTTTCATGCGAGATTTATATTATTACATTTTTTACATTAACGCGACGTGGCTAGCGTCTGCATTCGCCGCATTCGAAACGCGATATCGCGAAACTATTTCGGGAGCGCGTTTATTGGAACTTTTCGATGCAGTTCGATTCACGTCAACGATTGGTACGAGTATATCTATCTGCTGGACGAACGGTTTATTAACATTTCGTCGTGTTCACCCCGAAATAACACAGACGCGTTTAATTATATATCACTGTCGCGTTCTGGCTTGCTTAGAATCTGTCAGGGCTTCATTTTATACATGTATCTTGTTTATTTGTATTTTTCACTCAGGAATTTCTTTTTATTTTAAAGCTTTATTGTGTGCGACGAAACTCGAATTTCCACTCTTTTCTTTGTCCGTTCTACCTCTCTTGTTTATGTTTCCAAGGATCGTACGCGATACAATTTCAGAACTCTTCCTGATATACAACGGTAGGATATCTCAATTCTTTATTTGGTAGTATCTGTTTGGTTTTATCTCATTTTTCGCAGCAAAGTCAATATATATATATATATATATATATTTTTTTTCACTTAGTAATTATTTGAATGTTGGACCAGGTTTAAAATCAACTTTCAGCAGTCGTTTCGCCCTTCTAGTACTATAATTACTATGTATAATATAATGTCTTTTGTATTAATTTGTATTAGCGCTCAACAAAGTAATAACAATAACAATAATAATAATAATTTCGAGTCGACACGAACACGGTGGTACATTAGTTTTGTATCTCATGTATGTGATGAACAATTCAATTATAGTGGCTGTTGTGCCTACTCTATCAATCCTTCGGAACATTTTGAGACGCGGAGAATATATTCGCGATTGTCGTTGGACAGACCAGTCCTTTTCACCGCCTTTTGGCCTCCTCGGCAGGTTACGGTGATGATCTTATCTTTCACGAGACCATGAGATTAATAATACAAGATCGGGCTGGCCGGTCGAGATCGGAGAATGAAGAAGATGGTGAAGGAGAGAAAGAAAGACAAAGAGAGAGAGAATGTCCGCTTCTCGCAACAGACAAATACAAGACAATGAAGATTAATGCTTCGGCCTCGTTCTCTTCCCCTGGTCGGTCTCCGGGTCGACGGCATCGTGTGAACGTTTCGGTAATCCGTAGGGAGAGGTGTCCCCTCGGACACGACTTTGAGACTGCGCGCTCTCGCAACCCTGACCTCAAATCTAACCATGGCCGGCGGCGAATCTTTGCGGTAGATAGATTCAACGCGAACATAATCTCATGTTCATCGCCGAGTTTAGCGATAATTCACGATAGTGAGAAACACTGATGTTTGATTGTTGGTTAATTGTTTTAGATCGATTCAATTTTAAGGTCTAATCGATGCGTGATTCATCAACGCGGCAATCAGACAGACGTTGATAATCGCGAGTTATTTCGCACTAAGAGACAGATATTTGCCTCTCGCGTGTTTATTATGCGAACCGCGACGATCGTTATACACCCATTCCTCTTGGGTGCTCGGCTAACGCGTGCATGCATTGTAGATCTAACCCAATCGCGTTGCGCGTGACGACGTTAACTTGATCGGATCTTCAAACCCGTTATTCCCGTGTCGTTGCAGAATAGCAGTCGGCGTGACATGGATGTGAGCTTCACGAACGTGTTAGAGGGGGCTCGCCAGTACTTCCAGGGATTGCCCGTACCGAGTACAGGTGGTGCAGCCGCGTCGGTGGACCACAGTCTCGCGACTTCCTCCACGAATTCGGCCTCGTCCACGTCGGCGACGACGCACGATCATGGCGTTTCGTCGCAACCGGTGGCGGCACAAGCGACTCAGTCGATTTCGACTTCCGCCAACGGTAACGGCGGTAGCAGCAACAACAATAGCAATAATATCCAAGAGGCGAGTCGTTACTCCACCGACGTTAGACCGTCGTCGGTGGAGAACGCCGCTACGAGTTCAGGTAGTTTCTGGAATCCGCACGTGGAACCTTACCCGCCGCAGCCGACCAAGGTCGAGGTACCGGATACGAGGCCAGGTGACGAAGGCACCGCCATGGAGCCCAGTTCATCTTCCACCGTCATTTTAACCGAGATGCAACCTTCTAATCATCAGTCCTCTTTATCCTCTTCCTCCTCCTCCTCCTCCTCTTCCTCCTCTACCACCGTTGTCGCCGCCGCCGCCGCCGCCGCCGCCGCAGCATCGTCGACGAACTACTCACAGAGACCGCCGACGTCGTCCACTTCCTCCTCCGGCGATCACCATCATCACCATCAATCGCATCCCCCGACGTCGAACTCGACGTCGCAGCTGCAACACATGCAGCCACCCCAACAGCCACATTCCCCCGGTCCTGTTTACCAGCAGCTCAACAGCGTCAGCAGGACGTCCTTCACCGCGGCGGAGATGCTCGCGTCGTCGCACACTTCGACCTACCAGACCGCCAACGACCGGCAGTCGCAGCCGATCGTTGCGCAAAGGACTCAGTACTATCCACGTTACCATCACCCGGACATCACCAAGAGCGCACCGGTACCGTTCTCGCAAAGTTCCATCTACCAGTCCGCCAACGTGGCACCAGCATCCACGAACGCGGTTCAGCAACCGAGCACGAGACCGACACCGGTGGAACAGAACAACGTGTCCGGTGTCGCGCAGTCGCATTGTACGTCAGAACAGCCACGATTGGCCGGTACTTATGGCAATGTGCCGCCGTCTCAGAGTCCTCTCGGTGGCTCCACAGTGTACGGGTCCGATTCCTCCTCCTCTCAGAGTTACCGCATGGGTCAGTCGATTCGCTTAGCGGCTTCCGCAAGCATCACCGACAGATCGCATCACTCGGACGGGCACTCTTCCATCACCGCTGCTGCCGCCTCCTCCTCTTCTTCCTCCTCCTCTTCCTCTTCCTCTTCGTACACCTCGTCGCCGGTATGTTCCTCAACCAATCCGTCGGCCAGCTCGCGTCAGCTCGGTGGCAGCTCCTCCGGTCACATTCCTTCGTCGCAGTCGCAGAATCTTCCGGGGCACATTCCTTCGCCGCATCTGCCGTCCGCTTCGGCGCATCATCATACTCAGCAACAGCAGCATCAGCATCAACCGTCGCATCTGCAGCAGCAACAACAGCAGCAGCAGCAGCAGCATCAGCATCAGCATCATCCTAGTCGTATAAATCCGTCGCCGCACTCGCTGAACCCCTCATATGGAGGTCGCTCGTTGCCACCCCCGCACGGCGCTTCACCGTCGTCTTCAATCACAACGGCGAATCACTCACAGCAGATGCCGCCGCCGCCGACGACGAATCTAAGCGGGTATCATGCAGGCGTGACGACGCCGTCGCCGCACGAATCGACGCACCACGCCACCCCGTCGCCACATCACGCCACGCCGTCGCCGCATCACGCGACTCCGTCGCCGCATCGGCAGTCACCCCACGTGTCGAACCTGCACAATACTCACGCGTCTCCGCATCACACACCGTCGCCGCACAGCGGCTTCCAGCCGCACTCGCCGACTTATCCGCCGCCACCACAGCCTCCGTCAGCGTCCAACCGGTCAACGTCGCACCCGTACAATCTGCCGGTCACCTCGCAGCACTATCAAACGCCAGCGGCTTACGCGAACAACCCTTATGCGCCGCCGCCGTCTTCGTCTTCGTACCATTCCTTCCAGAAGACCCCGTCGCAGTCTCAGGGGAGCTACTACTCGCAGCCCAGTCGATCTCATAGTCAGTCGTACAATATGCAACAAATGTTAGCGCCACCGCCGCAGACGGTGTTCTCCGGCACACCCGGCAACAACAGTTTGGGCTACCAGCCGAGCAAGCATGTAACAATGTACAACGGCGCGGACGCGAAGAGAAACGCGATGGTGGACGTCGCGGCGGCTCCCTACGGAGCGAGCCATCGGTCGCCTGTGTCCGTGCAGAGGAGCAGCAACACGCACAACCTGCCGCCCATAGCCGCTCTTTCGTCCTACCATTCCAATAGGAGCCGCGAGCCGGTGGGTGCGAAATCAGCGCAGTCGGTGCAACGACAACGGACGCATTCGACGAGTGCGACCAATGCGAAGATACCCGGTGCGATGCCACCGACCTCGTCGATCGCGATGCATCCGCAGAGGATCGTCGAGTACCCGGTCACACCGGCGGTGATGAATCACGCGATACCGGTGAATGGCAGGACCACCACCGTGACGAATCTGTCGTACACCACCCGGTACAGCGGTCAACAGAACTATCCGTCGTACGCCACGACGATGGCGCCCAGTCATCAGGGCAGCAACTCGACGAGTAGCACCACGGTCACCTCCATCGGCGGCGGTACCGTGAGATCTTCCGTTCCAACAGCTGCAATTCACGCGTATCAGTCTTCCGACGAGACGGATCGGGCGGCGGGATCGTCGTATCATCATCATCAGGCGTCGATGCGAACGACCGAGAGTTACGCCTACAAGGAGTATCCTTATCAGAGCACAGCGTCGTCCAGCGGGCAGTCCGGTTCAACTGGCGCCATAGCCAGCTCTCCGTCGCCCAGCAACGCGGTTCGGAAGCGAGAGTCCCCCTTGGACCTGTCCGTGAAGACGGTCAAGACATCTGCCGATTCCACAGCACAGGATGATCTCGAAGCCACCAGCACGGACAAACATGTTAGTAGCTCGAACCTGAGCACCTCCAGGAGCAATGTGAGCAGGTCGATGCCGCCCCCACCGGTGCAAGCGGTGCCGTCGCAGCCGTTGTACCCGTCGTCGTATGATCCGCGACCGTCGAGCAACAGCAGCAGCGGTAACATCAGGAATTCGATGTCGTGCGTGCGCACGTCCACACCTCAGGCGGTGTGCGCGCCGAAGGTCGATTTCTTGCCGAACTTTAACTCGTCGCCGTTGCGCCACCAGGTCGCTCAATCCCACGAGAACGCCCTTCGAAGGAGCACCGCGCAACAGCAACTATACGTTCCACCCTCCCAGCCTCTCCCGTCGCATCACGCAAACAACACCGCCCCACTGCCTCACATGTCCACCTTTAAGAAGCGTCCACTGCCCACGACGCAGCTGTACGATAGCTTGTCGATACCGCCACCGCCACCGTCGTCATCGTCATCGTCGTCTTCGTCGTATCTCCAACCAAACGACTCTATGCCTTCGAGATTGCCCAAGTATCCGCCGATGGTAGATCCGTCGCGCGTCGGTTCGGCTGCTTTGCCCACGCAGGACTACTCGCACGATCCGACCAAATATTACCTGGACAACAAGAGCAAGTTTAGCCAGCAGTACTTTTCGCGTGAGCGAGTCCCTTTCAAGAGACTCGGTGAGACATTGCACAGTGGACCAAGCAAGCAGCCCAGACTCGCTTGGTCGGTAGCCGCGGACAAGTCGACCGAGCAGAAGCTATCGACTGTGAACGCGTTGAACGAACAGAAACGGCAGGAGATGAACCTGCCGGTTCATCTGCCGAACGGGGCGCTGATGACACCCACCGCCTACGAACAGAGACCTGACAGCGGCTACTCCACGCCGGAATCGTCGAGGTATCAGCAAGCATACTGTGATAAGAGGAACTATTCGGACTCTAAGGTCATACGAAGCTCACCTACGTACAGTCACCCGGTGATCTCGAAACCCTCCAACGTCCACTCCATGCCGCAACATCTGAGCACTGCTCAGCCGACGTATTCGAGCTACCGTCAGGCTCAGAAGACGACGTGTCCACCGATAGGAACGTCTGGTGGCCAACCGATGGATCAACCTAGCAACACCGGCGCCGACAAGAGGGTGTTGAACTTGCTCAGGAACAGTCTGGAGAACAAGCAGCAGAGGGAGGAGCAGTTGAACAGCCAACAGCCTATCCTGGTCAACCATAGTCAACAGAGCTTTCAGAATAAAGTAAGATAACAATTCTATCTACAACAAAATTGTGCTATATTATCTGCGGCTCAAGAAGATCGCGATAAATTTAGCGTTGCGATAAAAGGACGCCTTCTTTCAAGAGTATTTTCAGCGCCACAACAGTGGAAAATAGAAACTCGCCCGGTCTTGAATTGTTAACAAAAAAAGTACAGCGACAAAAATCGAAATATTTAGCTTAAATTAATTATCGCGCCAAATATTTAGTTGAATATATATTAAACATTGTTGATTCGACATTGTAATTAATTTAACTCGTTATTGCAACAAAAATTGAAAATATCTCACTGATATTTCGATATTTGTTAATTTTCGGAGAAGTGAGCTTATCTTTAATTTCATAATTTTAGCTCACTTCCATTTAATTTATTATATTTTAAATTGAACTTGTTTTAATTTAGCACAGTTTCCTACCGCGTCGAATTTTACGAGTTTATTATATAACGTAGTAGTTCATAGCTTGAAAACGACGCGGTCTGAAGCTCTTATTTCCGAAAGAGATAGAGACAATCGCGAAATCCCGGCGTCGATATTATCAGAATCGAGTCTCGGGATTGATTCTAAGTCGCGACTCTTGAAGATCTTAGATCTAGGTCACTCGTCATATACTACTTAACACCGTTTGCTTTCTTTCGATTGCGGATTTAACGCATGTCATCTCGTCATGTCATGTCACTCGTGTAACCGCGATCTATCTTTACATCTGACATTATACGTTCTCATTTTCGCGATCGCCTCTTTGTGTTTATCACTATATCCGACACCGTCACAATATTAATTGATGGTGACCTGTTTTTCCACTCAAAATCGGAACTGACGCGAGACAAGCAGTGGCGCGTGGAGCGTGAACATGTCTAGGCAAATCAGGCAGCCGATAAACATCGTTCCCGCGTGAGCAGTTATCTCTAACAAAATAACGAAACAAACTTTTTTTTTAACATAGTTAGCAAATTTAAACTTTCTAAAACACGCGTCCAACACGTAAATTCAAACTTTCTAACGATGCTTTAACTTCCGAAATAGTTTTCGTGCTCTTTGTTGTAAAAACTGAGCTGTGAGATCAATGGCATATGTATATTATACACGATTTGAAATAGAGCGCTGCTTACAAATCATTACGATCGACTTTTCTGTTTTTCACCGCTGCGTAAGCTACTTGCTTTTTCACTTCGCGAAATTATAGATCTTTAGTAGCTGTTTTCCGTGCTGGCTAAAACAGCGAGCATTTCGGTCGCTGCAATTCATGACTTGGTTTTCGTTACACGATAATTATGCTCCCGGGACCTTGATGTACGAGCGGTTTCCTATATATTTTGGGCAATATGCGCCGCCTCGGCGCATTGCCGACTGCATCGAGTCCCTTCCTTTCACTCGCGAACATAAGACTGTAACAACAATCGAAAAAAGAAATAAACGAAGGCACGCGGTGGTTAAGTTAGTCCTAGACATTGGATTATCATCCGCTCGATACGACGATCCTCGAAATTCCCTCAGGTCGTCGCGCCAGTCGAGCCCAAAACCAACATCGGCAGGCACAACCTGTCGCCGTTCACGGCTGCGAATCTGCTGGAGCGGAACAGCAACACGCCGCCGCATTACAAGTTCCACATGCCGCGGGCGGTAGACTCGATCACTCAGGAGGCGGCGCCCCGCAGCCTGTACAGTTCGAGACTGAACACGTCCGCCACATTACCCGGCAAAGAGGCCCTCCTGGGACCTCGCGGTGCCGAGAATCAGATCCATCGTGACAAGGACGACGGCCTCGCTGCCATCTTAGCCGCGAAGATCAGGACGAAGGCGGAATTGAAACAAGTGCGTCTTGCTTCGATTAATCGTCGTAATTGGCGGCGTGCGATGCGCGCCGAGTTTACCTCGGGATCTCACGACTTTGCCCTTCTTCTTCAGGTCGGGACCGGCCACTTTACAACGAAAACACCGCTCTTACCGCTTCAGGACGCGTCGCCGACGCCGAAAGGTAATCGGATAAAACGTCAGTAGGATTATTAGTGAACACTTGTTATTACTCTCTAAATTTTTCGGAGCGAAATCACACTTAAAACGAGTGAACATAACAAGAGTGATTGACTTTTGAGTCAAATGTAGAACGGATTTTTAATTCACACGAGTGAATATTTCAATCGCTTAGGATAAATTTGTTCCCGTGACAATGGAGCATATCGAATCCATTCGTCAATCACAAATGAAAATATTCGCTCCGCGATTCAGAACGGAAGAATTTATTTCTGTAAATGAAATTTATTCATGAAAATGAAAAGTCATTCGAATGCAAGTGACTTGGCTGTCACTCTGGTTTCCGAGTGGAATTTCACCCGAAGAAATTTAGGCGGTAAAATAGGCGTGTTAATTGCGTAGTGATTAGCATTGCGATTCGTTCAACGCGTGACTGTGATGATCGCGCTTCCTATTCAACCGTGTCGATTATACTCGATCGTACACAGGAGATTCGCCAACCCCGATCCGCATGTAATCTCGTTTATATTGCATGTAGCGACTGATAGCGCGGCCTCGACATCGACGCCACAATCCGGCTCGTCCGCGGGCAGCCCGCCGAAATTAACGCGCGAGAAGACAACTTGCCTACCACCCAGAAGACGTCTGTTCTCGAGAACCGAAGATGACAACATGCCCGTTGCGGCAACAGTGCCCGCGGCTGCGGCGACGACGACAGCGAACGCGGGCACGGTTGCATCCGTAGTGCCAGCTAGGGCGAGCGGGTGCAGAAGCTCGTCCGAGACGTCGGTCTTTGATTTCCGCGAGAGCGACTCGGAGGGTGAGATGCCGGTCCTCGAGCGGCAGACCTTGGAGGAGATGAGAAGGGACAGGAAACAGTTGTCGAAGGTGCAGCCTCCGATTCCCCTCAACGATGCTGTGTGTATGAGTACCTCGACGGATCTCGTCAAAATCGAGCTGAAGGTATATCGTGAAAAACAAAAGGATTTGCTGCTACGATTAAAAAACTTGTTAGCTTAGCAAATAGTCGTGACATATATGGACAATCAATTTTCTACAACAATTAAGTCTCATCTTATGTAAGATTAACGTGATTATGCTTGATAAAATTGGATTTTGTAGTACGATAGGTTTATCGGTACAACAAAAAAATCTTCGTCCAAATCAGTTAAAAATATAGTTCAGAATATTCAACAAAACGTGTTTGTTAAGATAACATATTCTTTTGCTATTATATGGAAAGAAAGTTGGTGTATTAATAAATCTAAAATAACAATACTTATAGTGATAAAAAGCAATGTTATTTCTACATTTCTATTGTGTTGTTTGTAATATCATTTCATGCGGATGGGTGTAATTTGATTATTTGCAGGAGAACGACAAGATCAACGAGGTCGATCCGTTCTGGACTACCACCTGTGATAATTTTATGGAGCAATTGCGTAGGAGAGAAACGAAGAAACGAACACGTACGCAAATACTCAGCGGTAACGCATCGTCAAAGTTCGAACACACGGCGATAGATAGTGACAGAGATTCCGATACCAACGCGTCGTCGCAACCTCAGATCAAGCCTGAAAACACCAAGAAAGAGTCGCTTGGAGATCTAAACGTCAAGAGCAAAGATGAGTCGTCAGAAGCGAAGATCAAGGAAGACGGAGACACGGTTTACAAGGTCAAGGTAGAGCCCGAGCTGGGTAAGGACGACGACAAACACTCGAGTGACGATTCGGACGAAGTGCCGTTAATTAAGAGAGCGACGAGACACAAGACGATGAAGAAAGAAGACAGCGACGGCGAGGAAGAAGTAATATGCAGGAAGAGGCGGGTTCGTCGTGGCAGTAGAATCAAACTCGTTTCATCCAGCGGCAGCGATTCCTCAAGCGAAGACAGCGACGGCAGTACCGAATTCGGTCGTGGTTCTTCGGTAGCTGATAGACTACGTGCTAGAAAACGGTCGATGAATAACGCCAATTCCGAAAACGAAGGTATGAAGCTTCGCTCGAGGGATACGACTCCTCACAAGATGAACAATTCGGAAAAAGAGGCGAAACTGTCGCCACCCAAAGGTGGGCCCTCTCAGAAGAGAAAACCGAAGCCATTGTTCGGTGATGGCAGCGATTTTCGACCCGGATGGGAAGAGGAGGTCTACGTATACAAGAAATCTTTGAGAATGCCCACCAGGTTAATAACGGTGTCGAAACCGTCGCGCTTTCATAGATTGTCCACGTCGTTGCCGGACTTGGATCCCGGCTCGCCAGCCTTGTCCGTTTCGATGGATAGCTCCGACGTTTGTCTAAGTCGTAAAAAGCTGATAGACAGCGACATGGAGTCCAATTACAGCTTTAGTATCGCCGGCATCGGCGGTAAGATCGACGACGAAGAAGCGACTTCATCCACAACTGTGTCTTGTCCACCGAAAGCTATGAAGCATTCCCGATCGGAGAACAGTTCTATCGTCGACGTTCTCGCGCAGAAGGTCGGCAGCGATAAGATCGATTCGAAAAGAAAATTGAGTCCGAAAGGTAGCAAGATCCTCAATAAGAGTAGCAACGAACCGGAGCTCTTGCCGACACCCAGTCTTACGCCACTCTTGCCGTCTGAGACGTTCAAGAGCTCGAGGAGTAAGAGTCCATTAAAGAATAACAAGTCCACGCTCAGAGTGACTGACTCCAATCTGCTTGGTTACTTCCGCAAAGAGACAGTCAATAATTTCCGCAACGCGTTCAAGAATAATCATACGTTGCCCAATGAGTTTTCCACTCTGGTGCTGAAGAGCAGAACGAGAACGGAGACGAAGGTCTTGAAGAAGGAGGCGACCATCCGCGAAGTATTCGGCGAGGATAGACCGGCGTCGGCGCCACCGATGCATAACCGCGACGACACATCTCAAGACGACGACTCGCAGAACGAGACGATGGAGAACACGCTGGGGAAGGCACGCACGTTGAAACAGAGACTAGTGTCCCGCTTAAAGAATACCAGTATACAGCGAAGTCGCAAGGCGATCGTCAATAAAGTGATGGCCGAGAGGCGAAAGGACTTGCTCAAGTCGATCGCGGACAAGACCCTGCGTCGCATCAAGACTGAGTTGGAAGAGGAAACGGTACAAGAGGAGGCGAATGACGCCAGGGAGGAGGAAAATAACGAGTTGGAGGACGACAAGAACGACCCCGAGGCTCCCGGTAAAAAGAGATTGAAGCTTCGTACTAGCCGACGTAAATTCCGCTCCGGATTCGACTACATTCGTAAGAAAAAGAAGCCGATGAAAAGGGACGAGACGTTGTCGAAGGAAAAGAAAAGAGTACGTATATATCGACTAATTTCCGACACTTCTTCCATCTTAAGTTCTTCAGCAGATTTTCAATACATGCCTTCGTTAGTTTCGTCAATGAAAATGCGACGCTTCGTCTTACAGCAAGTGCTACCGAGGCCCAACCCGGAATGTGTAGGCGACATTCAGTCTGAAATCAGGACATGGGTTATCAAGAAGGGAGTCGGCGAAACGATACTACACCGCGCCGCCAGACTCGGTTACACGGTGAGATAACGATCGCATAACATACTACGACCGCAGCGAAGTTAATAACCGGCGACTAGCAACTTGATCTAATCTGTTTATGTTCTCTCCCGCCGTAGGACGTGGCCGCTTATTGCCTGGAGAAACTCAATAATATTGCAAGTCCCAAAGACAACGCGGGTTATACTCCACTTCACGAGGCCTGCTCCAAAGGTCACCTGGAGATCGCGAAACTTTTACTGGCTTACGGTGCAAACGTTAGTGAAAGTGCTAATGGCGGTATCAGGTAACGCTTCCATCAACTTGTTAATTTAATTCTTACTATCACCGTTATTCTCGAGCCTAAATAACTCGACGAATGGTGGTGAATAGTGTTTATCATTATCGACAGAAAACAAATAATACATATCCTTCCTTTGCATTTTCCAGGCCATTACACGAAGCAGCAGAGAACGGTGCCACTGAGCTCGTACGTTTGCTATTGTCTTACGGTGCTGACCCATTGTTAGCGACTTACTCTGGACAAACGCCGATGATGTTAGCTGTTGACACCGAGGCTCATTCTATTCTTGAACAGCACTTGGATGATGTTCAAGGGCGTGCTACTGTGCCGTGGTCATTCTCCGGTACAAATGTTAGTGCCGGTACGTGACAGCGCAAATTTTCTACTATTTTAGTCGAAAATCTCGATAGAAAAATTATTATTGTCATATTGAACTATTTTAATTTTAAACTATTTTAGAGACGTGTACGTGCAAAGTATTTTCATTGACTGTTCGCCGATTTGTTTTTAGATTCAGAAGAGACGGGTTGTAATCCGCTTGACGAAGTTCCATTGGGCAATCCTGAATCGAGTTTGGACGACGTCGAGATGGAAGTGAGCGATATGAATCTACCCGCCCTCTTTACCCTGAAAAACGACTCTGACAAATGGGTGCTACTTCATGATCTCATGGCGGTCTTGAAAGTGAAGAGCCGCGACGCTCTCTTGCGTCAGATTAATCCAAAGGCCCACTCTGGGCCGCCTGCGATCGCCCATCGCGAGGTAATGCGTGAGCTGAAACTGCCGGATTTTCTAGAGCAGACGCGCTGTTGCCACTTGTTAAGCGGCGGCGAGAAGATTAACGTGCGTGGCTCCAAGGTTACACTGATCAAGTACAACGACAAGGTCAAGTCTCTGCTAAACGTGGAGAAACTGCTGATTAGTCTCAGGTGACAGGAGGCGTCTCTGGGGCGATCGTCTCCCCAGGCAAGACCATCGACCTCGATTCTTCCGGTCAAGGAGCACCATAAGAAGACCGATGGGAGGAGCACCACCGCTGTCGTGAAGCGCGAACGACAGCCAGTTTTCCGTCAGCGGAAACGATAGGAAACACGCGACAAGAATTCCGCAAATTGAGCGACGAGTATCAATCGATTATCATATATGCTGACGATTGTGAGAATCGCTATTCGCGATCTGGGAGTCTTCACTGATCGTGGATGCCGATACTGCAAGAATTGAAACTGGCTTACGTGAGAACCAACGCCGTGTGATCGACCTACCACTCGCTTACACGGAGACAGATGTTGGTGATCGAGATGAAGGAGAACAAGTTCCTGTTACGCTGAGAAAATCCGGATGGCCGACTCGCAACAACAAGCAATCGTCCCCGAAGAGAGAGAAGCTAAACGTCGTTGGCGCAACATTGAAGATCAGTACTTCTTTGCGTGTCTAGACATTTTCCGACGTTTCTTGGCTCGTTTCTAAAGGTAAATCGCCTTGATATCGATGATTGATTCTCTCCTCGCGATCTGTCTTATAGTGCACAAATATGAAGTTTGATCGGTGATAAGAGGACGTGTACAATCGGTTCCGTTCCTTCGCTTGAGCATCGAATGACGAGTCCGTCGATCTCTGTCACGCGCTAGCTGTCTTGACGTGTGTGACGGCAGTCGCAACTTCGAAGCTCGTACCGGTGCAAATATAGTTTTAACGAAACGATTGTTTACCTGATGCGCAGCTAAGAGTGAGGACAATGGAAATAGCTACCTGTGACATTATATAGCAGTATTTAATTGGGATATACGCGCGTGTATCCGTAGGACAATGATATTTTATTAATTCTCTTAAGGACTGATTAAATAATACGAGAAGTTCGTTAATATGTAACGCTTTTAGGCGAAGAGAGAGAGAGAGAGAGAGAGAGAGAGAGAGAGAGAGTGTGTGTGCGTGTGTGTGTGTGCGTGTGTGTGTGTGTGTGTGAGAAAAGGAGAAAAAGAGAGAAGTATCGTTTTAGGCGCAATGATAGAGAAAGCGAGAGATCTCTCGACCAGAGAGACGCCAGAAAAAGAGTGAGAGAGAAAGAGAGTTTTTCTGGAGCGTCAAGCCGAGTCTCGGAATGGTAATAACGTTAGCAGTAATAAATTATCCCGGGGAGAAAAGCGTGGCTGTCGTATCGGATATATTTTTATCTCGCACGTGGCTTCGCGAGGTTTCTCCTATTTTTTTTAATCTTTTTCTTTAGGGAGAATTCGGTCCGAAACGACTCATAGAACTGGAATGCGCCCTGCGTTTCAAGACGCTGTGTATGTGTATGAAATCTGTGTATGTGTGTATATGCGCGCATATTATAGCGTTAGTTTTCCTCCTCGAACTCTTATTACGGAACGCGTCGTTACATTTAAAATACAAGGATGAACGTTTAGGGCGTGACATCGAAATTGCTGATCATGTTACCACGTTTTAGTTTTATATTTCTGTTTTCCTCTTTGCCGTTTTTGTTCGAAGGAATAGTATTGTCGCGCGAATTATATTTATGAAGCTCATTAATTGTTTCATTGATCATTGGATATATAGGTGTTTGCGAAAGTGATTTGGATTTCAATCCGTTGAGTCCGGAATTACTATCTCGTCTGTTTAGTTTAAATATTAGGAGACATGTCAGCATGATCGTTGTTAATGAGTTAAAGGTGCAAATTTGCCGTGTTTAATCTATCTCGACGAAGAAGATGCGCACGAGTATGTCAGCTCTTAGTTCGTACGAGAAGCTACTTGTATTCGTAGTTTCCAGAGTAACGGTCAATTTTAATTCGAATAAAAGATAGACTCGACGAACGTCGATAGCTCAATTCTAATGAAGTGGCAAGTGCAATTTGTGAAATGAGTTTTCTTGTTTCTTGTTTTTTTTTTATTATCTAGATGAATCAATCAATGTTCTTAGCAATTGTAAAAAGAAAGAAGAGAGAGAGAAAGAGAGATGATATACGCGAAATTATATTACAATGATAATTTGGTAACACCGTTGGACAACGCTCACTCTCTCTGTGCAATAAAATGTGTAACTATTTTATATTTTATCTTCGAGTTATTTCTGTTTTGTGATGAGACGGAGCAATGTGTTTGTTAACGCGTCGTATCGATGATCAGAAACTCACTGACGAAACAATCTCTGAGAGAAAGGTCAGTTTCTTGTTCTACGTGTGGAGTGAATAGCACAAGGATCAACGCGATCGAATTTAATGAGCGTATGATAAAATACAATGCAAGTTGCGCGAGAAAGTTCAAATTAAAGATATTTAATATAACGTAGGCGCGCGTACTTTTATTTTATATTTACATACATGAATCTGCGAGATCAATCGTGAAAAAATGGAAAGGAGAGAGTGATAGAGCAGTGAATTTCGATCACCGAAGCGATGTTGTGTGTTCGATCGAAGCAATCTAGGATGATAAATTTTAGCGGAAAGTGAGGAGCTATTTTAAACGTTGACAGAGTGAGTTCGTCGATAGTACTTACTGTCGTCCCGCAACGTCCCTCGTGTACATCGACCTTTTCAGTGACGGGGAAGGGGAAGGGATATTCGGCACGTATACACGCACGTGTGCATACAGACGTTACGGGACGGGATGCGAAGTGAAAAAAGGAAATGGAGCGTGTGAAAGCTCGATTCGCAATGCTTGGAATGCCGTTGATAACGCGTTTAATTTTGGCGCCGTGCACAGAGGTTTCACTCCTTATAATCAGTCTCAGGGAAAAGTCCATGTGTGTATTCTGAAAATAAAAAAAAAAAAGAAAAACTGACGGTGTACCCCGTACGACGGACGACGTATGCATACGCGATATGCGAAGCGACGCATATCAGTATACACGTATGCATGTGTGTGTATAGTAGTTAATTAAAAAAGAATCGCTCGCTATAATTAGGATTAATTAATATCTGATACCGAGTGATATTAATTAATGTTAATTGATATCGATTCTCCTCACATGTCCGAACCTAAGGGAGGCGTTTTTAATTTTATTTAGCTGACGATTCAACTACATGCGAGACAGAGGCGCGTAGTTACTACTGATTGTACATACCGACCTATTTTCAGTAAAAAAAACCGTGAACGAAATAGAAAATAGAAACAGAGCGAAACGCAAGAGGATTAATTTTTTCCTTCTTTCCCCTCGGCTTCTCTCCCCCCTTTTTTCCACCCTCTGCGTTCGCTTGCAATTTTCGTACGATCTTCTTTTCTCGGAGCCGTCGAAGAGCGCGGAGGAGAGAAAGATAGGCAGGAAACCGGGGTGTACGTATTGTATGTATCTTTTATCTTAAGTAGACGCGACAAGTAAGATGTAATAAATAGAACCGCGGTACTTGTTCATATTAGCGCGTACTGTCCGTGTAATGTAAATCATTAATCGACCTCGAAGTAGTCACACTGTATGATAATATTACTATCACTATACCGCGATTATCGCTATTACTATTACTGCTGCTACCACTGCTACCAACTACTATTATTAACTTTAACTATTACTATCTACGACTATCCGCTTTTTTTATTGTACGATATACATAATAGGTAGAGATGGATGTACATTTTCTTAGTTATGTAATGTTCACACAATTGCCCCTCCGCTCGCCCCCCGCCCCTCTTGTAATTTATATATTCAAGGAATTTCTCTAAATGTGTTAATGCTGCTCTGCTTTGCGGATAAAGAAATTATATATAAATATAAATATATAAATATATAAAAGTATATATATATATATATATATATATAAAAGATGAACAAATATAAATATAAGTAAATATATATATATACACACACACATATATATATATATATTTTATTTCAGAGGTTTAGTTCGAAACGACGTTGATGCTGATGAACAAATTAGAGTCTTACTGTGATTCGTGTAAAGAAGAATAATTAATGAAAGCAAACTATCGTTATTATATATTGTCATCGCCCGTAGTCGTTATAAGTGAAGTCGCGACGGACCCGACGAATGATTTTCGTAATGAGAAAAGAACAGACTTGTGATTTTCCTTTCGCTAATAACAATTACGAGTTATTCGTTCGATGTAATAAAAACAAATATTTTTACCGAAATTCTTATTCCTCTCCCCCTGTCAACCTCAATCATCCAATTGCTTCTTTTTTTCTTTCTCTTGAAATGCTGCGACAGGTAGTTCGTATTATATACACTTTTTGATTCTATCTACATTCTTCAAAATGGAAGAGATATGATTCTTGCTGATGGATATGCTGCCAGAACTACAGTAGCTTTGACCTCGAAGAATTCTAGCTTATGCCTGCATTTTTCAAGAGTGTTGTAAATTACATTCTCTGTCTTAATAAATATATAGATACAAAAATGAATTAAAATTTTTGTACCAGAAAATACAGTTTCATACATCGAATATGATTTTATACAATTATTTATATCTCACATTTGTTTCATGACAATGTGTGCTGTATCGAGATTAATATTTTTGAAAAGATAGTTTTCATTAGGAATATTCATCCAACATACTCATTAGGAGTAATGCAACTGTTAACTAACTATTGATTAAGTTTTTGTAATTAATCCTGATTATAACTGCAAATATGTTACAAAGAATATATGTAAAAAAATTATATATCTAATATAATCAATATTGTATAATACATTCCAAATAGCATCGATCTTCGCAGAACATCTTTTGAAGACATTCTGAGAATATCCCTATGTTCTAAGAATGCCCCTGGAGACTTAGTGCAGAATCTCTACAATCAACAATTAAAATATTATTCTTGATTAAACATACTTTAAAAATATATTATTACATAATTCTAAATATTCACCAAAAAGTACCTAAGTAAAAAAGAACAATTCGTAACACGTTGTAACAATCTTAAAATCTGTCTTAAAATTATTAACGAAATGCTCTACTTTGTAAGATAATGTATTCTAGTACTGAGAATATGTAAGAAACATATGTTACAGAAAAATCTAGTAATAAATTTTTAAAAATTCGTTGTACAAATTTAAAAATAAAATCATTTAAATATTTCTCGTAGAATTTGATATCCACGTTTTTAAATGTAAATCAAGTTTCGTGAGTTAGTCAACTCTTTTAAAAGTGTTATGTTTATTTTTTATAATAATAAAATAAAAAATCATCTAACATCTCGCTATTACATAATATTACTTGATAAAACGCAGATGCGTCCGACTCATTGTTTAATTATATCGCGACTTCAATTCTTCGTTCGGGGAAGTGGCGGCTCGTAGCGAAGACTTCGGAACTAATTTGCAACGTTCACCAGAGAGAAGCCTGCGGCCGATGTCCCATTAGGCGGAAATTCTTAGCGGAACGGAACGCGCGCACCAATCACAGTTACTCCATTCTTTTCGTGAATAGAACTGTTAGTTACTGAAAGAACCGACAACTAACAGTCACGATTTACGCTTACTAAGAAAGGATGCGCTAGATCGAAAAAGTCCAATTCTCCGGAAGAGACCGGAAGTGTAAAGGCATTTATGTGAATCCTATATCGATAAATAAAGATAACATTTTCTACATTTTGAATTGTTTTAATCGCCTCTACGTTATCGATGCTTAGGAAGTTTGTCGACTCCAGCATCCTCTTAAGCCGGGATTCGAACTAAGATGTTTCGAGTCTTCGATATTATTCATATTATTATAAACTACTAATTCCAATAAATTAATTAATTAATAATACACTATGATGTTTCAAATTTTTCTTGTGTACACCTGGATTCTCACCTGTCTGTCACATGATAAAATTTCGGGTCTTATTACTCGAGAACGCAAGATCGTCCGGAAATGCGGTGTTCACGGCGATGACGTATATAAATGCTGAATATTTATTTGAGCGTCAGATTAATTATATAATATATAAGAAAAAAATTAAAAAGTTGAATTGAAACAATGTTATTACAATTTGGACGAAGTAGATATCTATATTAAGAGAATGTTTTTTTTATAAACTATACTGACAATATTCTGACATTTTCTGTAAAGTTGACGTTGGATTGATTGTACAGAATTACTGATGCTTTTAAAAGCATCAGTAAGGGCAATCAGAAAGTGCATGTACAAATAAATTAAAGCTTTTTAGAATATGTGACGAAACGATAATGTTCTAATAGATAATAAAGTTGTTAATATTTATAGTTTCACTTACGTTTTTCATCGGAACTCGTCATGTAATTTTGATATCCTTTTGGAGGAAATTATTTCGCGATTCTTTTCAAATATCATTCTTACTTGTTAATTGATTTATTAGCGGCATATCGCGTTATTCGGAGTACTTTGCGAAATTAACTTCTAACTGGAAATTGACTTCAGGTAATATTACGCTGCAAGAAGTTACACGAGAAATCACATGGGACGTAAGTGTTATGAATCTTAGTTCCACAAAATTAACTCTCATTCTGCTACCGTCTGCTGCGATAAATCATGTATTATATTTCCATTGGGAGATATTCTCTACCTTTCACGGTATTGTAAAGAGGAAGGAGAGTCGCACATTACATGTACATTAACGGTAATTAAAATTGGTAAAACGTTTATTAACTATTTAAAAACGATGAAACAAGGTGTGAACATGAGATTTTGACAATTCAATAAGTAATATTATTAAATAGACTATAGAGGTGTATAATAGGTATCTGCGATAATTATTCTCTTTTATACGGTCTTTTACATCGAGATAGACGTCTTTCAACTCGGCGAAGCCAGGCCCTCCGTCCTTCAGGCACAAGCTGAAGCTCGTCTCACTTCGTACCTCGTCACACTCATCTCGCTCCATCTCGCAGTCGCGCGCTTAATAATAATTCTAGGACTCGCGGTAGGAAAAAATAGCTCGAAAGCGTGTCGTCCGCGCGAGATTATCATTCCCTGCGTAAACATTACTACGAAATAAGAGGGAGGGGGCAAGGGGTGGGGAAAGAAACGTTCGGCTCTATTCCGGGTGACAGAAGCGATCATCGCGTGTTTGGGACCTCGCGGCCCCCCTTTGCTCGCACTGCGCTGTATCATCGTCATCATTATCATCATCGTTATCATCATCAGTGTCACTATCGTCATTATCATCATCGTCATTATCATCATCATTATTATCTCTGTGACCGCGACTAAATGTCACTGTGTCACGACAGCTATACATGCAGATACAACTATATTACAATTAAATCGCCGTAATGACACCTCGTGTATAGCAATTCGATTTTTCTCTGCTCGCGTTCCATCAGGGGGAGGGAAGGATTCTCTATCATCATACGTTTGCGCGATTAATGCTATACGGAAACGGAAGGAGCAAACGGACAAAGTGCCGCGGGGACGAAGCGATGCACGCGTTCTCATGGCCCCGCGAACGAATGAAAGCTAAAAGCGGAGTTAAGGGAGGCGGTATCTTTACGTAATCCAGAGTTGCCACTCGGGTTTGCGAATTACTGGCTGAAAAAATCTCAAGAGTTCGCACTCAGATTGTGTACGACGAAATGATTCCAGATCCGTAACTGGAATCCGATCGAATCTGCGTTTTCTCTCTCTCTCTCTCTCTCTCTTTCTCTCGCGAGCGCGGTGCCTTTGTCCGTTTGCGCCTTACGTGATTCTTCCACGGCCGTCGTAAGTACATCGTATCGAGCGTCGGTTTTCTCTTCCTCTCCTTTTCTCTTTCTACAACCAGTCGCAGTCCGGTTCCGTCGAAGATTCACGCGAGCCAGATTACGACGTCTCGTCGACGCGGACCACCGATGTCTCCGGTGTCCAGCGCAGCACGTTAAGGCACTAAGCGACGTAAACGAGCCGCTTCTTTGTATAACTTAACGTACAGTGCGCGTAACGTGCGAATTTTCGGTGTAACATGTGTACATTTGCGCCGAAGGTTTCTACCGGAGCGGAATCGACAGGTCGCCCGTGACAATTCGTCGTCGTCGTCGTCTCGCCGCGAAGCCGGGAGACATCGCGCAGTCGAGTAACGTGCGTGTCTTCCTCTCGCCGGGCTCTCTTACTTTTCTTGCTTCTGCTTACGATCCGTCTCGACACACACACACACGCGAATTCATGTGTATTTACAATAATACATATCTACTATCGTAGTAATAATTTAGTAGTGATATTTAAATTACAATAATGCTTTTTTGTGTTCTTTTTCTCTCGTGCACGTTCTCTCCACTTTCCTGTAGTGTCGTCGCGTCGCCTCCACGCAAATATAATGTTGCACATAACCCAGTTACTGGCTTAATCATCTAGCTGTACAAAACATTATATATCGCTATGTTTCTAACATCTAAAGATTTGTCCCGTGAGGTTTCTTTTCTCTTTTTTTCTGCTTTTTCATTTTGCTTTTATTTCTTTAAATTGTGAGGTTCGTTAACATACACAACGTCGTATCGCGATTTACTACTAGTAATCCGCACTCTTTCTCCTTAGTCATGTTGTACCGTCGTTTTTCTCATGCGCCGAGCCCGTTTCGCTCGACGTTCTTTCGACGCTAACTGCGCCTTTAAGTACTTTAAAAAATACCGCGCTCGAGTACGACCGAATAAGCGGCACTTGGCGCGGTCGACGGCTTGACCGAGTTCTCCTCCGACTTCAGGAGACCTCCAAGTTGCCCGATTCGGTCTTCGGCCTGCCCGGATCGGTCGGGCTTGTCTCGAGGAACGAGGTGGCAAACCGGTGGCGTTGCGTGACCGTCTGAGATGCCCGGAAGTCGTGTCTTCGCGCGAGTGAACGTACAAAACGCCACCGGTTCGCGAAGTTTCTCTTTTTATCTGCTTGTTCTAAAATTAAGGACGATCACACACGAATAATCGACGATCATGCGATACGAAGTTACGAATTTCTGTCTACACCCTCTCTCCTCGTATGCTTCGCGGCGATCTTCCGGATTTCAAATTCGGGAGGGGTGTGAATCACGCGTCCTGACCGACTTAGAATTAGATCGATTTTTCGCGCGGAGGCTGGGAAGAGGAAAAAGGCGTGATTAAAGATTGGTTGGTTTGGTCGGTGGTACTGAGTGTCGTGTGGCCCGCGGTTTAAGTATGTTTTCGGCTCGAATCTCCCGCGACGATCTGCGTCGCGTCGCGTGTTTCAAGTTGGGAACCTTGTGCTACGTAGGTAATGGAAAGGACACGGTGGGAGTGGAAGGAATAAGAGGAAGGAACAGGATGGGAAAGGGCGTCGGAGCGTTACTTAATTGTATTTATCGTGAGTAATTAAGCTTGACGCCTCGGCGGCAGGGTCCAGGCGTTGGGCCCATGCTGAGCGTGGGGGGCAGGACGTCACAGTTGCTGGTCCCTGCAAGGTACCCAAATGTTCGGACCTGATTGTTCTGAGATGACTTCCTTCACTTTCACGTAGATCTCTTCGGGGGTGTCACCTTGAACGACGGCTGTAAACAGAGCGTACCGTTTGATATATCGCAATTATAAGATCGGATGTGTAATTTTTTTCTTTGACATGTCGTTCTAGCCGAAATCACGTAGATTATACTTGTCAGGCCGCGTCATATTATTCAAAATATTGAGTCATCGCGACATTCTCCGAGGTAAAATTTACCTTGTTGAAGATAAAATATAGATATAAATTGTTGACTCACCAGTAAAGTATTCACCAAATTCTTGCTCCATCTTCAGAGCGCGTTCATACGTTTTCTTCGCTTGATCCTCTGTCATTCTCTTGTTCATCTCCCTGTGGAGCAAAGAGCGATGGTTTTGATACATAGGAATATAGATGATAGTGAAATTGCGATATCAAAGATTTGCTCAACTCACATGACAGATTCGACTGATTTCGGCTTGATGAAGATGGCGATAGGATAGAGTTGTGCTACTTGTAACCTCTTGATAGCATTTCCACTCACATCAAGAATACAGTGCTTGCCCTGAAAGCATGATCGCAAAGTTCTCGATAGTTCTTTATCGATATGACATACGCTACTAAACCTACGATTCGTCAAAAGTACCTTTTCGGCGACTTCTCGCACGGACGCAACGGATGTTCCATAAAGATTGTCGTTATACTGTCCGGCCTCTATGAACAAATGATTTTGTATGTCTCTCTCCATTTGCTCCCTAGACGCTACGAAATGGTAATCCCGTCCGTCTACCTCGTACTCTCTTCTACACCTCGTCGTATCTGTAAACAAACGCGCGCCAAGTTTTACTTAGGCACAAATTCGGCATCGAAGACGCGCTCGCGCGTTGCGAGATATCAATAAAATTGTTGTAAAAATATCAGATAACTCACGTGGAACGCAACTGCCGAACTTGTCGGGAAACTCGGAGATGAGATCGTCGTTGATGCGATCCTTGAGCGGTCCGAGAACGATCACGGGACGCGTGTATTGTATCGTTAGCTGCTGCACGGCCTCGTACGACAACACGTTCTCTTCGCTACCTGCAATCGTCCGATCGAATGTTAATCCAGCTCCTCCACGCGCCCCCGAGTTAGGGGGCGTGAGGGGAGGCTTGCTGAGTTGTTAGCAGCAGCAATTTCGTATACTCTTTTTCAAACCTCGACGGCACAGTTTTGCACGCTCAACGCGAAAAGAAAGCAACACACACTCCCGAAAACAAGCTTGACGACGGCGATGATCCTCGCGAGATCCCGCTTCCTTCACTGAGAGACGAAGAGCTTTCCTTGCAACGTCATTGATTAATCGACTGCCACGAGAAACGGACGCGGGACAATGTGTTACGCACGTACACACACACACACACGCGCGCAAGAGTGGAGCGCTCGTCTGAAACCATTTCTGGCTGTATCAATCGAAGCCAGGTCGGATTCCGAGCGCGACAGATCGTCTCTCCGTCGACCCTCCGATCCTGGCTCCCAGCCGGTTCCTGAACTCCCGCTCCGCTCTGGCGTCTATTCGGACGAATACACGTTTCTTCTTTCGTTAGACGAGATGCACGAGCATGCTTTCGGCGTCCGGGTGAGATCGAAGCGGGACAGTAAGCTACCTCCTAATAGAACTAGACTAGAACTCAAGCGACCTAAGGGACGTCGGGGTGCGGGTGGCGAGTTAATATGTATAATATAGCGACTGTATATTGGTACTTGGCAGAGAGGGGTTTTCCTTTTTCATTCGTTATCGATATCGCGTGCGCGTCACCCGCTCGTCGTTAGCGAGCTCGATATCAACGCGAACGAGATGATATCGCCGCTTCTTCTTGAGTTTCGATCGGCGATGAAATACACGTCCGACGGAACTTTCGCGCGGACGCTATTCCTTCGTTCATCCTCGCGCTCTAATTGCGCCCGCTATTAATGTCTACAATGTCTACAATGTCTACGAACGGACGACGAAAAAACGAGAAAACACAGCGCGTCGTGGAGGCACGTCGCGGGGCCACCTCAATTGCGCGAGGCGTTTCGACGTGCAACAGGAGCACGTTCCCGTTCAGTAATTTAACGCGAAGAATTCGAAGAAATTAACGTGACGACCAGATCGAGATGGACATCTCTTGATTGACGTCACGAACGACAGAATTGTATTCGTGATTACTTTTCCAATCTCAATCGCGAGTCACGTCGCCCGCAAGACGAAATTCGTTGAAATCGCGCGTTCAACTCCAAAAAGATCGACAGAATACACGTGAACATCAATAGAAAGATGAATAATAAGAAAAAGAAAAAACATTAATGATACGAGAGATATCCTTCAAGTTGTTTCCACTGCATCTAATCTGTGTGACCGCAGACATGCTCAAACGAACTCCGTGACCGCGAACCGCGCGTAATTCGCTAGTGGCGAACGTGGGAAGCGTTAATAGGGTTGGGAGATCACCGAGATCGGGATCAGAGTTCGTTAGCTGACACAAACCGGTGTTACAAACCACATAATTCAGTCATTCCACTCGAGCATCTCTCTCGGGAGAATTGCCCGTCGGTAGGGTTATGACACTGCGATCGGTTAATCGTCTATGAGAGAAAAATCGGCTATGTGTGCGCGCGCTCATTCCGTTTCACACATCTGCTCTCGGCTACGACTTACTAAGGTCGTCATTGGGCTCATCGCCCTCCTTTTCCAGATAAACTAACGTGAGTTCCTCCATATACGGCAGCTGAACGCGATACAAAATTTCTTTACTCCCTGCGACGCAAGACAGATCTTGAATGAATAAGACAAGAGAAGGACAATGTAATGAATATGAGACGAGAAATGCGGCCAGGAGACAATTAGGTGGTAGTATCCTACAGTGAGATCTATGAGAGTGGCACGCAAGAGTCTTCGCGAAACGGCTGGATCGACACGACGAGTGGCCGGAAATTCGCGAGAATCAGCGAGCGCTTCGAGAGTCGACTCGAAATCAGAATGAGAGTTCTTGAATTCATGAGATCCATCATTTTTCTGCTTCATTCAGACACTTCATATTGAAGCAGTAGCATCATTATCAAGTAACGAGAATTTCGAGTTGACTTTACGATCTCGCACGCTACCATCACAGAATAAAACGACAGATATGCTATGCTGCCCATGGCGACGACAAAGGTCCACATATTTGGTTCTTGAATTATTGCCGGGTGGATGCAAGCGAGATTGATCATCGCGAGGATGACACGATGGACCAATAGAGGAGGATTGTTTTTGAGATTTTCGGTCGAGGGACGTTCCGCGACTACGTTCAAACGTTATTATCCAATTGTTCGGCAAATTTGAACTATATTCGGTGGTAGATGTATAATATTAAATAATAAAATTTATATTGAATAATGTATGTAGAGGATACAGTAATAATTAAAACTAATATAATTCTCGTGCCGATATTATAATCACATTAAGCTATATAGCCGTGCTCGTAATCGCGCAACGATATCGTGACCGAAATTCATAATCCCGCATAGCTGACCCAGGCATATATCTTTGGTGTGAAGAAGAGAATAGGAAGGAAAGAGAAACAGAGAGAGAGAGAGAGAGAGAGAGAGAGAGAGAGAGAGAGAGAGAGAGAGAGAGAGAGAGAG